GACTATTGCTGTTTTGCCCTCGGGATATAGGATATTCTAGGAGCCATGTTTGGAAATTCAGAGTTATCTTTCCTTGGTAATAGTACTAGACTATTTTCATCTCCATGCCCGTTTGCACTTAGACAGGGTCCATTCCTAAACATGGACACGAGAGGGGGTATGAGACGAAATCCGGCTTGCCAGAAATGACACGAGTAGTTACGAATGAACCAAGACTGACCCTGACAGAAAGCTGACAAAGTAAGGATGTCATCTGTGATCTCTGACACCCTGCTGCAAACATACCATAAATTACATATTAATAAACACACACATTCATGAACATAAATAGAATAGAATATTTTGGGGTCAGAAATACCACAACTTACCGGTAAGTTATACCTATAGAGAAAGGGACAGCCAGGTGTTAGAGAAGCATGTGCACAAGTGCCAACAAAGTTATTGATTCATTAACCTGTGCTGTGCCGTCTCCATCCTTTCTCGCACACCCGGCTGTCCCTTTCTCTGCACTCCTCCCTCGTAACAAATAGTGAACTGTGTCGATATTTTAATGATAGTTTGTTAAACAACTTTCTTATTTTTAGGACATAAATTCTGCAAACACCTCTCAGAGTTGGTCTGACGTTTTCATTATGATCAGTGTTTCATTGAGTATTTTATGTTTATAAGTTTTCAAGTTAGATTGCAATTCATCGGTCCGCTTTTGAGCCAAACGGACTATAACAAATGCTTATCCACAGAATGTTCATAGTGTTGTGAACTATTGTTCTGCACTTTGTGGATTGGGTCCCAGTCCTATGTTTATTTCAGAACAATTCTTGACGACCACCCAAGGAATGAACCTTTGTACATTGTAACCATGGTAACAGAATATTTACCAGCCGCTGTATCCGTCAACACATTTTAACAGGCATTGCTATTTGGGTTGGGTATTGCCAAAATGTTCATACTGCGATATATTGTGATATGTGTTGGCGTACTGCAATATGTAGTGCGATATATTGTGAAAGTGTAACACACGGGTTAAGGTAATGGAATTACTGTTTCCTTTCTTTTGAAACAATGCAGCTGGCCACTGTCAGGACTCAGATGTGATTGTACAAAGGATTAATAGAAAATGTTTCCAAATTGAAGACTTCACTCTAAAGTTTTGAACTGGAGAAAAAGCGTCTGTTTATCAATACGAGTCCTGGTACCATCTATTTTTTTTATTTATATGGTTTAAAAGTCATGCAAATGCAATTATATGACCAATAAACATTCTCAAACTATTAATGTATAATACAAATGTTATTAATATTTTTGACCACATCACGATCATTACCGATCATGGTCACGGAAATTGCTGATCGTATTGGGTGAATTGGTTCGCGAGAAGTGTACCGCAATATATCATATTGTGATGTTCAAATTGCAATATACTGGTTAACCAGTGTTATCGCCCACCCCTAATTGCTATATATGTCAAATTAAAAGACTGACATCCATTTCATAAATCTTATTGCAAGATGGTGAGACTTCTTAATTTTAGGCATATTTTAGGCATCCAGCGATTAACATCATGAGCATCGATCTATGCAATTGGGATACGATGACATGTGTCAACCAAGTCAGCGAACCTGACCACCCGATCCCGTTAGTCGCCTCTTACGTCAAGCGTGGGTTGCTGAAGACCAATTCTAAGCCAGATCTTCAAGGGGTTTCTCGTCAGTTCGGAGAGTCATGACACCTGTACACACATCGTGATTTGAACAATAGGAATGAAAATGGCAACATTATGATAAGGACAAACCATACGCCTTGGATTTTATATACAATTTTTGTCAGAATCTTTCACAGTGTATTACAATATTTGCTTTATGGTGTTGGCTTGACAAATGTTCCAAGGGACCGTTCATAATTTATGGCTGGGGGTGATGATGATGATGATTATTTTAAGGAGAGGGGGGGTGGGGGTTGTTGTTCTGTGGAGTTAGTGGGTCATCAATTTTGTACACCTGTATGGGATGGGGATCAATTTTATAGATTAAGATATTTAAAAAAGATGCTTAGAAATTATGGGAAGGTAGCTGGTATTGATTTTGTACATGACATGCAGGGAGGTTCACTTACTTTGTACATACACTTTAGGGGTGGTGGGGCGATTCACAATGTACATGCTTCTCCACAGAAATCATCATCACCCTCCCTAGCCACAAATTATGAATGATCCCCACTTCATCCTTGTCTCCCCGCAATGTCACCAGAGCAACACATTATAGTAAATTATGTCATTTTTGAATTCACAGACTGAGCTGACGTCTCCACTTGTGATCCAAACCCACATTCTCTCAAAACAAATGGATACGTAATGTAAAGTGTAATATAGTGAGTGAGTTAAGATTATAAGTCACATCGGCAATATTTCAAGCATATCGTGACTAATAGTGTAATATATACCAGCAACACGTATATACAGATTATCTCGCTCATAAAACAATTGATTGCCTAGGGACATATAATCTGTATGTCATACCATGTGGTTATCCTTCCATGTATATATATACACTGATACTCCTAGTCTCTTTGACTGTAAAGTCAGGTCCACCTTGAACGTTTCACTGTGAGTACATTTTACATTCTGTGAAATATTAGATATTGTTTTGCACTACCACACTATAGCAAGTTTTAAAAAGTATACAGTGTAAGACAGATTGCAAGACATAAAAGAGACATCACTACTGGCAAAATATTATAACTGAAGGAAAGGTATTATATGAGTTTAAATTTTCTGCTTTACTCTTGAAGCTCCTTTGTCCTTTAAATGTTCACCATTTTTCCTTTTGAGATTTATTTGATCTGTGAATTTGGCACTGTCCATTGTTCTAATAATTGACCTTGACCTGCATCATCCCTCTGACCTTGATCTTCATCATCCCTTTGACCCTGACGCTCATTGTTTTGTCTTATTCCATGTCATCAAAGTAGGGTCACTGTCTCATGCTTCTTGCAGACATGGTCAAGGATCACCTAGATGGTTTGGCATCATGGGTTGGTGTCCTTTGGTGTTGCTTGGTTACCAGATGGGTTCCTGGTTTTGTTGGTCATAGATCGGTGGAATACAGCATTGGTGATGACTCTTACGGGTGTGAACAGCTTTAGCGGGAACTCACTGAAAGAAGGAATGAAAGAATGAGGTGAAATTGGGTTTTACGTCGTGCTTGAGAATATTTCGATCATATGACGACGTGCATGCATGTGTATGTGTATGTGCGGCTGCTTGTACCAGCCCAGACTTAAGCTGTTTTTATAGTGCTAGCCCACTGAGATACCATGCCGCAGTGAAGCATGAATACCCCACTCAGACACATTATACTGACTCCGAGCCGACCAGTCCTTGTTGTACCCATTAATGCCGAGCGCCAGGCAGGGACCAACAAGTCCCATATTTTAACGTCCTTTTGGTATGACGCGGTCGGGGATCAAACCCGCGACCTTCCGCTCTCCGGGCGGACTCTCTAACCACTACACCACGGAGGCGGTCGAATGAAAGAATGAATGTTTAGTCAATGTTCTCTGCAATAATCAGCAATCTTCAGCAGACTTCATCAGAAGCAATGTAATATGTTTCTGTGTTTTGTTGCATTTAGCAATATTCCTTCAACATGACAGCATTTTTCATAAATAACCTAGTGAGTGAGAGCATCGATCCACATATGTGGGATACAAGCTTGACAATGTGATTCCTTTAATAACAGTTTCAGACAATCACAGTTTGTAGTGTGGAATCATCATGACGCATTAAGCACACCAGGTACATACTACATTCAGTTTTCAAAACATTGACGCGCCACTGTAGCATTTTTCTGAATATGTTGTCTGAAGTTAAAAGTGAGTGAGTTGAGATTTTTACGCCGCGACTCAGCAATATTCCAGCTATATGGCGCGTCTGTAAATAACGAAGTCTAAGACCAGACAATCCAGTAATCAACAGCATCAGCATCGACCTGCGCTAATTGGGAACCGATGACATGTGTCAACCAAGCCAGCGAGCCTGACCACCGATCCTGTTAGTCAGCCTCTCTTACGACAAGTATGGGTTACTGAAGGTTCATTCTAACCTTGGATCTTCGCGGGTCTGAAGTTAAAATGTCAAGCAAAGACCCCCATAATTCTGACATCAAATCATTGCCCCATCATTGCAACAATTTCTTCAACCCATCTAAAACCAGGAAAGGTAACTCTGGTTGGTAAGCAAGGGCAACAGGCACCTCAAAGTAGAAGAGGCGCATAACGGGCACAACTCTCAAATGTTATGCAAGCAAATTAAACTAATCACACTCTCAATCACGAACATTGGTAAGTCGCCATGAAATATGTTGTTAGTAATAAATGGCACAGTAGTTATCAAGAAGCAGGCTGAGATATGGGGATGGTAGATCTGTGATCAATGTGCGGGAGTAAGAATGGCTTTTCCCAGCTTTAAACAATAATACAATAATCTTTATCTTGCCTCAAACACAAATGTCGTTTTCTGATTGGCTGAGCGTTCTTCTAATATTTTCAATGTACCCCGCTGGGAATGCTGAACTCATTTGGTACTTCGTAGCAGTAATTCTTTATCTCGAATAACATTGTATCATGTATGCTGTACGGAAATTACAGATGTTTTGCGAATGCAAATCGATGGAAGGGAGATAACTCTAAATTTGTTTTTCTTGTCATCTTGTCTTCTGGTACTCCATACTATGATCTGATACCCGTGCTTCAAACAGTTTAAAATTATCATTGAGGTGTTCGGTAGGATAAATACGTTGTTCACTGGTCCCTCAGGGCCCATGGGCATCGAGGGCATCAGCCCATGTCCCCGGAGACCAGTGAACAACTTATAATATTTATCTCACAGCAGGGGACACCTAAATCGAAAACACAGGATGAGCTTAATGTCTCAACCCCATGCCTCACTACATGAGGAACCTCTACATCTTCTACTCACAAAGGCTGTGCAGGCTCCCTGAGCATCATTGGCACTGATGATGAAGAGCTGGAACAAGATGGAGAAGATGCAGCCACTGAAATAGACACACACTGAAATCATCACAAGATCACGACTTTTATTACAGCTGTAGCATGAGCTAACACATGCGGAAGTGAGTGAGTTGAGTTGAGTTTACAGCCACAATATTTCAGCTTCCAGCTATATGTATGGTGGTCTCATCACCACTTTTATTACTGGCTGTTGTGAAGCTAACAGATGGTAAGATCCAAAATGAGTTTAAGTAAAAGGTTGGCCTGTGTCATATGGGTTTGTCAACCATGGTCATGCGTACATAGTATATCTTTCTTCAACCAGTTTTGGGTTCATGAATACAATATGTACAAAATTATATCACTTGATCACATAATCTTAAAACAGTTTTGGTTGTGAAGATAAAATGTAAAACAAATATGTATAAAGATCAACTGTAATTTATTCAAAAGGTGGATTGCAAAATACAATACCATGAAGTTCTCATTAGATACCATATCTACGAAGCTTGTGTACTTCCTATCGCCAGGATAAAATAATACCCTGGATAGTTGAGAATGGAGAGACAGGGAAATGGACACATTTTGCAATCAGCATAACACCGATAATGCTTGAAAGAACTGTTCCAATTGTTTTTACCAATATTATTGCAATAACATGCACGCCAGTGTCACCAGTAAAGGATTTCTACAACAAGCATCGCTCAAGTATGACTTCAACCAATTAAGCAAAATCATAGCACTCCTCACATCAGGGTTGTAAAGGGGTTATACATATTGTATCTAAGTGGGGAATCGAACCCAGGTTTGACAAGTGAACGCTGTAACCACTTGGCTAACATATCTTTTCCAATAACATGAGTCAGAAATATTTTCCCATGTATAGACTGAAGCTTCTCCCATTCCATGTTGTTGAGGATGTTAGCTGCTTGTTACCAACCTTATCACAGTTGAGGAAGATAGCGAATGACGTTGCCAATGCCATGGGCAGGCCAAACCCAACAAAGTAGGGGCCAGTTGACTCCTATCAATGACAGTCGAAGTGTGCACTTCTAAACCTGAAGTGAAAACAATTGAGATGAGTATTCACATCATCATCATCATCATCATCATCATCATCATCATCATCACTCACATTCTGAACTGCAAATAAGGTAAATCTAGGGTTCAATCTGTAGTTCAAAAGGATTTCAGCGCAGCAAAGGGACACTACTCTGCATGGCAAATTACCCCTTGTTTACTATGGATTCAATGAAATGAAAAAAAAGATGTTTGTGTTTCCTATTTTGAGCCAAGCAGAAAATAAAAGGCGTGAGGTCAGGGCTCCAGATAAAGCAATGATTCGCGTGATAATGCGGATAAAAAATATGCACTCGATCACGGTAGGAAATAGTTTTAAAAAACATAGCAGAATCGCACCACAGCAATTGTGGCACGCTCTTAGAATCATTTACAGACGATTTATGTGAAAAAATTATTGTTTTATTGTTTATTGACCTGTTTACACAAGAGTAGCAATGTTGTGGTGCATATATGAAAGCGAAACACACAAGATTACTGGATCGCCATTAAATTCCATTCAGTACTCTAAATGTACTCTTAAGTTTTTCCAGTACTCCTATATTGAATAAATAAGGAGTACTTACTCCTGATGTTGAAAAATTATCTGGAGCCCTGGAAGGTACCATATATTACAGCAGATAAGCCGATGTCATAGATAAGCCCCTAACTTGACCCTTAAAATCAGTGTCAAAATGATATGTTTCGTACATAAAGTGGGAACCTGTGTTTATTATAATTCCACGGCAGAAAAATGGCAAATTCTGTAGATATTCTGCATGAAAATGCGTTTTTCGCGGACCATACGTTTTTCTGCATCAAAAGGTAATTTCCGCGATTTATTCTGTAACCCTGGAATCGGGGAATCCAGGATGGACTGGTAGGTTATTTGTTTTGCTTTACCTCTTTTCTTGCAGTATATCAGTAAAAGTCTTTTTTCAAACAACAACTGATTCTCACCATATTAAGGAGAATGACTGGTGTTGGGCTTGTGTATTTACAGTTGTTAATAATAATAATAATAATAATAATAATAATAATAATAATACACAAGATTTGTATAGCGCCTTATTTGCTTATTTAAAAAACTCACAGAGACCATATTAATGGCTGAAGGCTCTTTAACATATAAATAACCGTGATGGTGATATACAGGTGGTATACAAGTGATGCTAAAAGATGAAACATCTAACACATGGTAAAACACATACAAGGAGTAACATTGCATGAGTGATAAAACCAGTGATACATTATGTGGAATAAGCAGCTTTAAAAGATGAGTTTTAAGAGCTTTCTTAAAAATGTCCAGTGAGGATGAATTTCGTTGCACTAAAACTACAGTTACAACTCAGAAAAATAATAAAAGGTTTAGGTTTTGGGAACTCCAAAGACGGGTCAGCTGGGAAGTTGGAATGTTTACAATGTTTTGGCAATATAGGCAGGGTCTCACCCATGTTGTACCACTTGTACTCGAAGGTGTAGAGAGAGTAGAGCAGGCAGAAGTGTAGGACGCTGACTAGTTGGCCCACTCCATAGATCGGCAGAGAGCTGGCCATTGTTGCCTGCAGATAACAAACAAATGTCATATGATGGATCCATGTACACAAGAAGTGAGTGGGTGAGTGAGTGAATGAGTTTAGTTTTACGCCGCACTCAGCAATAATTCAGCTATATGGCGCCAGTCTGTAAATAATTGAGCCTGGACCAGACAATCTAGTGATCAACAGCATGAGCATCGATCTACGCAATTGGGATACAATGACATGTGTCAACCAAGTCAGTGAGCCTGGCCACCCGATCCCATAATCGCCTCTTACGACAAGCATGAGTTACTGAAGATCAGTTCTAACACGGATCTTTATGGGTCAGTATACAAGAAATGTCACTGTAATTCAATCAATTATAATTTGAGATACAGTTCCCTTATTTCTCATCGCTGCCCAGGTTTAAATGATTAGTGACTAGTGATGCATTTACCACTATGGTGAAAGCTTCTGAGAACTAGTTCAGTGCCTGTACATCTCTCTCAGACACTCAAATATACACACACACACGTACATCTCTCTCAGACACTCAAATATACACACACAGCTGTACATCTCTCTCAGACACTCAAATATACACACACACCTGTAAATCTTTTCTCAGACACTCAAATATACACACACACCTGTACATCTCTCAGACACTCAAATATACACACACCTGTACATCTCTCTCAGACACTCAAATATACACACACACACCTGTACATCTCTCTCAGACACTCAAATATAAACACACACCTGTACATCTCTCTCAGACACTCAAATATACACACACCTGTACATCTCTCTCAGACACTCAAATATAAACACACACCTGTACATCTCTCTCAGACACTCAAATATACACACACCTGTACATCTCTCTCAGACACTCAAATATACACACACACCTGTACATCTCTCTCAGACACTCAAATATACACACACACCTGTACATCTCTCTCAGACACTCAAATATACACACACACCTGTACATCTCTCTCAGACACTCAAATATACACACACACACCTGTACATCTCTCTCAGACACTCAAATATACACACACACCTGTACATCTCTCTCTCAAATATACACACACAGTACATCTCTCTCAGACACTCAAATAGACACACACACCTGTACATCTCTCTCTCAAATATACACACACACCTGTACATCTCTCTCAGACACTCAAATATACACACACACCTGTACATCTCTCTCAGACACTCAAATACACACACACACCTGTACATCTCTCTCAGACACTCAAATATACACACACACACCTGTACATCTCTCTCAGACACTCAAATATACACACATATCTGTACATCTCTCTCTCAGACACTCAAATATACACACACACCTGTACATCTCTCTCAGACATTCAAATATACACACACACCTGTGCATCTCTCTCTCAAATATACACACACACCTGTACATCTCTCTCAACATCAAATACACACACACCTGTACATCTCTCTCAGACACTCAAATATATACACACACCTGTACATCTCTCAGACACTCAAATATACACACACACCTGTACATCTCTCTCTCAGACGCTCAAATATACACACACACACCTGTACATCTCTCTCAGACACTCAAATATACACACACACCTGTACATCTCTCTCAGACACTCAAATATACACACACACACCTGTACATCTCTCTCAGACACTCAAATATACACACAATCTGTACATCAGATACACACACACACCTGTACATCTCTCTCTCTCTCAGACACTCTCAGACACTCAAATATACACAGACACATATCTGTACATCTCTCTCAGATCTCTCTCAGACACTCAAATATACACACACACCTGTACATCTCTCTCAGACATTCAAATATACACACACACCTGTGCATCTCTCTCAGACACTCAAATATACACACACACCTGTACATCTCTCTCAGACACTCAAATACACACACACCTTGTACATCTCTCTCAAACACTCAAATATATACACACACCTGTACATCTCTCTCAGACACTCAAATATACACACACACCTGTACATCTCTCTCAGTCACTCAAATATACACACACAGCTCAAGAATCGTTTTCAGCCTTGACAAGAGCTTCATTCCATTTTTAAAAAAACTCAAAATGTACAAATACCCCTGGCTCCTTCAAATTTGAAAGAACAAATCATCTGAGAGTTACTTAAAGTCCAACTTGATGAGAGAATTTCTGTGAAATATGTCCGTCCATATACATGGGTAGTTATTGAGCTATCAAAACAATAACATGGAATTTGGATTCGTAACTTGGTACTTCTATTTCAGGTACACACCAATATCAACGTCACAGGAAAAAATACAAGTATTAATAAACCCTAACAGCAAAAGGCATCACTTCGGGGTCTGTTTGATATACCTGCCAAGGTTTGTTGAAAGATATTGAACGGTTTTCGATTTGTGTTCCACCCTCCCTTTTGAGACTAAGTCCAAATTATTTCCATGTAAATCGAGAAAAACACAAATGCCAAAAATCTGTTAATAGCAGAAGGCACCACTTTAGGTTCTGTTTGATATATCTACCAATCTTTATTGATGTTTTTAGAGTTATGACCCAGAAACGAAATGATTACGGATGGATGGACAGACAGAGAGACGTGGTGTTTACTATATCCCCCCACATTATGTTCCTTGGGGATTATAAACTCACAGCATACAAAAGTCTCATAACATCCAAAAGTATCGCAATTTCATATGATTAACAGCATCAGGCCTCAAAGCATACTAACACTTTACAGCATATAAAACTCTGACATATGACAGTCTCACAGTATGCACAAGACCCACAATATACAAAAGTTTCAAAGAATATCATACCCTCAAAACATACAGAGCCATCACAACATACAGAGCCCACACAGAGCCATCACAACATACAGAGCCCACACAGAGCCCACACAACATACAGAGCACACACAGAGCATTCACAACATACAGAGCCCACACAGAGCCATCACAACATACAGAGCCCATACAGAGCCATCACAACATACAGAGCTCATACAGAGCAATCACAACATACAGAGCAATCACAACATACAGAGCCATCACAACATACAGAGCCCACACAGAGCCATCACAACATACAGAGCCCATACAGAGCCATCACAACATACAGAGCCCACACAGAGCATTTACAACACACAGAGCCCATACAGAGCAATCACAACATACAGAGCCCATACAGAGCATTCACAACATACAGAGCCCATATAGAGCCATCACAACATACAGAGCCATCACAACATACAGAGCCCATACAGAGCCATCACAACATACAGAGCCCACACAGAGCATTTACAACACACAGAGCCCATACAGAGCCATCACAACATACAGAGCCCATACAGAGCATTCACAACATACAGAGCCCATATAGAGCCATCACAACATACAGAGCCATCACAACATACAGAGCAATCACAACATACAGAGCCATCACAACATACAGAGCCCACACAGAGCCATCACAACATACAGAGCACACACAGAGCCACCACAACATACAGAGCCCACACAGAGCCATCACAACATACAGAGCAATCACAACATACAGAGCCCATACAGAGCCATCACAACATACAGAGCCCACACAGAGCATTTACAACACACAGAGCCCATACAGAGCAATCACAACATACAGAGCCCACACAGAGCCCACACAGAGCCATCACAACATACAGAGCCCATACAGAGCCATCACAACATACAGAGCCCATACAGAGCATTCACAACATACAGAGCCCATATAGAGCCATCACAACATACAGAGCCATCACAACATACAGAGCCATCACAACATACAGAGCCCACACAGAGCCATCACAACATACAGAGCACACACAGAGCCATCACAACATACAGTGCCCACACAGAGCCATCACCACATACAGAGCAATCACACCATACAGAGCCCATACAGAGCCATCACAACATACAGAGCCCACACAGAGCATCACAACATACAGAGCATATCACAACATACAGAGCCCATATAGAGCCACACAGAGCCATCACAACATACAGAGCCCACACAGAGCCATCACAACACACAGAGCCCATATAGAGCCATCACATCACAGAGCCCATACAGAGCCATCACAACATACAGAGCCCATATAGAGCCATCACAACATACAGAGCCCATACAGAGCAATCACAACATACAGAGCCCATACAGAGCCATCACAACATACAGAGCCCATACAGAGCCATCACAACATACAGAGCCCACACAGAGCCATCACAACATACAGAGCCCATACAGAGCCATCACAACATACAGAGTGTGTACAGAGCCATCACAACATACAGAGCAATCACAACATACAGAGCCATCACAACAAACAGAGCCCATACAGAGCCATCACAACATACAGAGCCCATACAGAGCCATCACAACATACAGAGCCCATACAGAGCCATCACAACATACAGAGCCCATATAGAGCCATCACAACATACAGAGCCCATACAGAGCCATCACAACATACAGAGCCCATATAGAGCCATCACAACATACAGAGCCCATACAGAGCCATCACAACATACAGAGCCCATACAGAGCCATCACAACTGACTGAGCCCATACTAGAGAGTTCACAACACACAGAGCCCATACAGCAATATTCCAGCAACATCAGAGCCCATATGGGGACATTCACAACATACATGGCCCATACAGAGCAATCACAACATGTGGGAGCCCACACCTGGCCATCACAACATACAGAGCCCATTTAGAGCCATCACAACACACAGAGCCCATACAGAGCCATCACAACATACAGAGCCCATACAGAGCCATCACAACATACAGAGCCCATACAGAGCCATCACAACATACAGAGCCCATACAGAGCCATCACAACATACAGAGCCCATACAGAGCCATCACAACATACAGAGCCCATATAGAGCCATCACAACACACAGAGCCCATACAGAGCCATCACAACATACAGAGCCCATATAGAGCCATCACAACATACAGAGCCCATACAGAGCCATCACAACATACAGAGCCCATACAGAGCCATCACAACATACAGAGCCCATACAGAGCCATCACAACATACAGAGCCCATACAGAGCCATCACAACATACAGAGCCCATACAGAGCCATCACAGGTGTACAGAGCCCATATAGAGCCATCACAAACATACATCACAAGCCCATACAGAGCCATCACAACATACAGAGCCCATACAGAGCCATCACAACATACAGAGCCATCACAACATACAGAGCCATCACAACATACATACATACAGAGCCATCACAACATACAGAGCCCACAGAGAGCATCACAACATACAGAGCCCATACAGAGCCATCACAACATACAGAGCCCATATAGAGCCATCACAACATACAGAGCCCACACAGAGCCATCACAACATACAGAGCCCATACAGAGCCATCACAACATACAGAGCCCACACAGAGCCATCACAACATACAGAGTGTGCACAGAGCCATCACAACATACAGAGCCATCACAACATACAGAGTGTGCACAGAGCCATCACAACATACAGAGCAATCACAACATACAGAGTGTGCACAGAGCCATCACAACATACAGCTCCCACACAACATACAGAACCCTCCAAAGCCTCCCATGGCACTCACCTGTATGAGGAAGAAAGCCTGCAGCGTGACACTGAAGAGCATGTCAGCTATGAAGGTGCTGAGTGTCAGGCTCTTTGGTTTCCCTCGCATTTTCAAATATGCAGCATCTGCTATGTCCTACAACACAAACACAATCAATCAATCATTTTTTAACTGTGATTTATACAATGTATGTGACTGTTTGAATAAATTTGATGATAATTTAATGAATGTCTTCACAAAAAATAGGGCTAACTTGCAAAACACGATTGTATAGAATAACAATGACATGACAGAAATGCCAGAAAGATTTCCATGATAAATGCTTTTTTATAAATTTTGTATTCATGCATTCAGTAATGGTAATAACTGAGTATAAAGCATGACCAGCCAATCTATGATGACAGTATCATGCTGAAAGCTCCATGCTCATAGCTGACTGACTTGATTGCTTGTCATTATTACCCAATTAAGTACATTGAAGCTCATGACAATCAGTGGATTGCCTGGTCCAAAATTGATTATTTACCAACCACTGTTATACAGATAGAGCATCAGTCGTCATTTACCAACATATTTGTCTGTTCTCTTAAGTGCACGGGGGTTGTGTATTGTACAAGAGGGGTACACTGAAGGAGTCTGCACACAAAGTTGACTCCAAGATGTTTTACACCCGGTTACAGGTGGGCTCGATCCCGGCACCTTAAGCTCGCTGGATCACTAACCTGGCGCCTTAGACAGCTCTCCCACCAAACCCCTGTTGTGTAGATTGCTCATCCCAATTGCGTTAAATGAAAGCCCAACAACACCAACTTTTGTTGGAACAGATGGAACATTGACAATGGCTATACTATGCAAGACCTCATGCTTGTTGTAAGAGACAATTATATCAAGAAACAGCTGAAGGCTTTGCAGATTGCATCTCACGCCCTGATGCCTTGAACAGCTTCTCTTATTGCCAGTCCCTGTCCAGACTGACCGCCTCCATGGTGTAGTGGTTAGAGCCTCCGCCCGGAGAGCGGAAGGTTGCGGGTTCGATCCCCCGACCGCATCATACCAAAAGATGTTAAAATATGGTACTTGTTGGTCCCTGCCTGGCGCTCGGCATTAATGGGTACAACAAGGACTGGTCGACTCGAGAGTCAGTATAATGTGTCTGGGTTGGGTATTCATGCTTCACTGCGGCATGGTATTTCAGTGGGCTAGCACTATAAAACCAGCTCAAGTCTGGGCTAGTACAAGCAGCTGCACATACACATACACACACATGCACATTGTCATATGAGCGAAACATTCTCAAGCACGACGTTAAACCCAATTCCACCACCACCAGGTCCAGACTTGATATTACCAGCCACTGTGATGTTGCTGGTGCCTGGTGATACAGCTGTGCATGCAACCATAAAGTTTCATTTGACAAATCCATCTTCACAAAACACAAAATGTCCTTAAAGGTCACATAAACCCTAGGGGGTACAAATACATAAATCACTAACTGGCATCGTTATAAATGAAACCCCGTCATTAAAACTACTCATTTCGACCTTTAATTGACTTAAATCGACATTTTTGACAACAGTGCACAATTCTCACCCGCGAACGAAATTTCAACCAATCAGAGCTTACTGTGACGTCATATGAGGAATAGCTTTGAGAGCCGATGCAGAATTCATCTACATTTTAGGGGGGTAAATTATCATGTTTACAGGCTTGTATAAACCTGAAATCGCGGACAATTGTTGTGGAAAATGAAAGCTATATGTTCTCACAATCTACTGGCATTTAATTTTGTCTCCTGCTTTGCCTAGTTTCCGAGTTACAACTTGTTTTCATAGACGATTCTGTCAAAATCGATTGGTGTCGTTAGGCCCTATTTGTATAATGACTGATCCAAATTGATCCCATTTCTGTGTTGTTTTACCTCGATATTTAATCATGTCATGTAAAAATCTGTTTGTATTCTCAAAACAGTGTCGGCCCATAAGTTTTCACATGCAATACAGCAATTAATACTCCCTCTTTGTAACCCGTGTTAGGTGGTATAAACCTACACATGTTATTTGTCATCATTCACTTGATGGTCAGTTAATGAATTTATAACAGGTATAATTAGTGGTAACACACTTAGATTACATGACAAAGGTTCCCATTTGGCATTTCTTGTGTCTGGAGTAAATATTCAACATTATAAACATCGATCAAAGGATTAACCGATAACACGCTGATTGATTAATTACTTTTATCTTACACAGCGGAATTGTCAAAAGGTAGTGTTTATGTATGTAGATTTACTAATCTATACTGAATGCACTCTGTCGTGTCGGTGTCTGCGTAAAAACAACGTCCTTCTTTCAAAGGATTAACAGGCAATACATTGATTGATTGCCCATTATTGGCTATTATTAACTAAATTACTGTTTTTAAAGAAAGGCGGACATTATGCAATTAGTTGCCAGGTGTGCTATCTTGGGTGACCAATGAGACTATACACCAATACCTGAAAAGATTTATCACTTTTTCTATTAAACTGTTAAAAGACACATCATTTGGAACAGTTTTGTGGATATTGATAGATACATTCCTCGAACAAGGTAATGGCCTGATATTGTTCCTATAACTTTAATCTGTTTTAATTTTAATATTTGCATTTTGTTTTTATTCATTTGTCGTAGTATTCAACAGAATCATTGTTTTCGCCGTGAAGTGTAATGAGACAGACAACATGCACTAGGGTGTGTGTGCGAATTATGATTCACATTGGCAAACTATCAAATGTCTAGATATTACAGTTCTGTTATAAATTCACTATACTGTAAACGTACTTATTTTCGCGTGGTGCAATTTTCGAGGAATTGACAGTTTAGACTACATCGCGCGGTCAATTATTCGCGCAATCAGTAATTGCCGGAACTGCCAGCTGTCTCTTTGGCCGCCACTAATAGCAGTGAAAACAAACAGAGTGGCTTAACCTGTCAGGCGACGTTTATTGCTTACTCACAGGAAATCCCTATCTGTGCGATATACTTGTACCCAGTAATCCGTTTACTCCCGGAAGAGATGAAAAACACATCAGTCTTATGTTCAATTCTGGACGATTTGATCTAATTAATTTATACTGTATATGAAGCTCTTTGTGATTTCAAACAAGCCGGTTGTTGTGAATGAGATGACTGAGTGTTAGTGACTATTCGCCTTCATGATGTACTGGTGAATAAAATCTTAATGAATAAATAAAATACTGCTGTATTATTTCTTTCCCGAAGTCGTTTCACGGAAATCTGTTTTGTATCAAACCATGTCATGTGACCAATTTCCATGGCGGCCACAACACACATTGCTGTTTTCGCTAATTCGGCAATGGATTTGGCTCATTATTTAATTATGTTTTGGGAAATCCATTACAGCGACAGTTAAGTATGATCAGTCGTCATTTTAAGATTCCCGTTGATTTCTGTCTTCAAACGTGATGTGTTATGGTAACAACTCAGGGGCGAGCGTGGCTAGACTGAATGAATGACAGGTTTATTCGCGGTGTATAAATTTTCGCGCTAAAATGTTTTGTGCGAAAAGCGCGAAAATAAAACCTGCGCGAAATATAATACGTTTACAGTAAGTATCAGCAGATCGTCTGCTTTTTATTTAGTTTCAAAATGCATACAAGTGTGATAATAAACTAATTAGGATTATAAGACCAAATATAAAGACGCACATTGACTAGTATCTACATGCTGGTGAGTGGACATTAACCATGGGAATGTAGCAAGAAATTTATCGCGCAGTATTGTGACTTCGACCCCCACCTCGCTTCCGTGGAAGAAATCGTTATGTTATAAGTTGTGTCATGCAAAATCCGTTTTGTTATGATTCCGATACATATTTAACAACGAGTAGAAAGTAGTCTTGATTTTCTAACTTGATGAAAACAAACTATAATCTCATTAATTCTAACAGATTTTTTAATTTTTTAAAATGGCCAGTCTGAGGATAAATGGTATTTAGGTTTGTTTTCACCGAGTTACAAAATCAAAACTACTTTCTACTGGTAGTAAAATATGTATTTTATTGATAATAATAGGATTTTGCATGACATAGCGTATATCATAACAATTTCTCTGGTGGCAGCGAGGTGGGTGTCAATATAATACTACTTACAATATTATTGTTACTTCGACCACAACCTCACTTCCGAGGAAGAAATCGTTATGTTACAAGTTGTGTCATAGAAAATCTTTATGGTCATCAATCATATGCATATTTTACTACAACTAGTAAGTAGTTTGATTCTTTAACTTCCGTGAAGCGATCTGAACACAAGTAAGATATCGTTTCAGGCTTCCACAGCGCCAAGCAGCACTCACAAACATAACCCATTTAGCCGCGAATCTAACTGCGGGGTCCTGTGGAAATCTGTGCATGGGGACACCATCGCCGACCCTAGAGCAATTGGCGACAAAGCAACGATTCGGCATGTCGCCGTTGATGTCGAGAAATCATCAAAATGATGAGCGTGCTACACATTTTCTATACAACTAACTGAAAATCGTTCCTCATATGACGTCACTGCAGTGCTCTGGCGACAGAGTTACATAACCTGTCTGTGGTTTCGTTGGTGGGCGAGAGGGAAGCAGGCGACTTTTTGGCCACTTTTAATCGTTCGGTATTAATTAACCACAAGTTTTTAAAGAATAAATTTGGAGTTCCGCATAAGACTAACCACAAATCTTTCATATGTAGTGGTTAAAAGAGTAACAAAAAACAAAGTTTAGTGGTTCTTTAACAAACAATTCCTACCTGAAACCAGAAACAGTTGATTATTTTTGACAGAACAAACAGCGGTAACACCCAGAGAGCGCTGAATATCCATGAGAGAAGGGGAGATAACCATGACCAAACAAGGCCATGAGTCAGCGAACCACCTGAAATAAAATAACATCATAAATCCATCATCAAAAACATAATTAAATCAGACTAATGTAAGTAATTACAGTCCGTTTGAGTCAGAAACGGACCGATGAATTGCAAAATTTATCATTGTACAAAATTGCCACATAAATATAGATAGTACATGTTTATCATTTACTAATACCCAACAGCTTTCTTATATTTGAAAATTTTCCGGACTCCACCAAAAAAGTTGTTTAAGAAACTATCATCATTGAAAACGCAAAAGTTGTTATATCTGTCGGGGTGAAACCGCAGAAACGGAACAGCCACTATCTCGTCGTGCACGGGATACACATGCCTGATGAAAAATGAAGTTGAATGCTGACGTGAAACAGTTGATGATTAAAGTGTACCAATTTATGAAAAGAAAGTGAAAACCAACAGTTGACAGGCAATGGACTCAACAAGCTGACCTCCGTCCACCCCTCACTGACCTGAGATGAGCTCTGTGAACCAGTAGATACAGGGTAGAAGCATGTAGTGGAACACGAAGATGCTCAACTGAAACACAGGAGGAAGTCCTATAAGCCCTTGACACTTTGGTTGTGTGGTGAGTGAGTGAGTGAGTGAGTGAGTGAGTGAGTGAGTGAGTGAGTGAGTGAGTGAGTGAGTGAGTGCGTGAGTGAGTGAGTTTTATGCCACATTCAGCAATATTCCAGCAATATGGCAGTGGTCTGTAAATAATCGAGTCAGGACCAGACAATCCAATGATCAACAGCATGAGCATCGATCTACACAATTGGGATACGATGACAGCAAGACTGACCACCCGATCCTGTTAGTCGCCTCTTGCGACAAGCATTGGTTACTGAAGATCTATTCTAAACCAGATCTTCACGGGTCTTGGTTGTGTTTAAATCAATATTTAAAACAATTAGTAACTTTATGAAGTCATTCATAATCCAGTTGTACATTTCCGTTTATAACAAATTTACAAGGGCAAAAAAAACTTTGGCAAAATATGAAGCCTCATTGGCCAAATTGTAGCAAGTTCAAAATCAATATAGAATGAACAAGTGTCATTCACATTCAGATCGCAGGATATCTTCAGACATCTGTTTTACTACCACCGCTATACTCGAGTGAGTGAGTGAGTGAGTGGTGCTGCATAGGAATGTTATGATATTTTAGTTATCTCCCTTATAGTAATGTTATTCTTACCCAGCAGACACCACCATTCCATGCACAGCACATAAATATTCGATTTGTTACTCTGGGAACGCTGCAAACAAAATCAAAAAAAAACATCTCAAGGCATGGAATGAATAAATGAATTATGCTAGGGTATCTGATAAAAGTCCACGTCTTCATACAAAGACAACATAACTTTTATTGTTAACAGTTGATATATAAAAAGTCACTGGGATGAGATTCTTTGTTTTACAAAAATTAGTTCACTCTGTGATTTTCCTTTTTTCTCTCATTATTATTGGCTCAATGTTAATATTGGCAGAACATATCGCTATAAATAGGTTATAGAGTCAGTTTCCTTAGCAACGCTCTCTGCCATTTATTTTAAAAACTCTCACAAATTAATAACCTCTCCATCTTGTGTCCCGGACCCTGGTTATCTAAAACTCAACAGGTGCTCGATCATTAGGGGTGGCTATTGAGGGGGAAACAACTATAGCGATAGTCTATTGCAACATACTATTGCAACCAATAGTTTTTTTTCCCTTGAATTGTCTCATTTGAAGTCATTTCCCAAACGAATGTATAGTTATATGAAAAAAAGACTAGTTGAAGTTGTTTCAGTCTCTTTTAATAACTGACAAGAAACTTGAAACCCAGATCGAGTAAACAGTTAAAACATAAACTTATTTAACATATGTTATATTTGGGATTACGCTTAGTTAGTAAAGTACAGATACTAGTACTTTTGGGGTTGAGTCCCATCCGGGATTCAAACCCACACCCTCAGAGTCAGGCACCTATTCGCCAGCACACAAAGTCAAACGCCTAGACCGCTCAGCCACCGCGGCTTCCACTTAAGATTACTTAGTGTAATCCCAAATATTACATATGTTACATTTGACCACTTTCTAAAATGGCATTGGGTATTTCATAAACTTATTGTTAATCACAATTTCAAACTGTGAGTCACATGTGTTTGCCGCCATGTTTGTTTCAGATGTAACAGGAGCAGATAACTCTATCTCAAAGTGAACGAATCTGGTACTTCCTGTATTTTGCACTGAGCATTATCAACAGAAGTCAATTACTAAACACATACTATCGATGCATCGACAGTTTTTTTGTTTCTACCATTGATTAATTGCTATCAGAGACTCAACAATTGCAATCCATCGATAGTTTGATGCATCGTTACAGCACTATCGATCATTGTGTGGAAATCAGACTTCAATATGTTTCCAGATTCAAAGTTGGTACAATGATTTTTGATGATAAATAAATTATCAACAAAAGTTCAACTTCCAAGATTATACAGAATAATACCTAATTTCTTGAATGTCAACTGCACAGCTTATCAGCTCCAACAGCAGAGAGATTAGTGATGTCAGTTAATTGTGACATCATACAAGGGTCTGCAAAGCATTGTGATGTAATTTCATAGAAGTGATATCTCTGAAGAGACATCACAGAACCTAAGCAATATCTCCTGTGGAAGATAGTTTGGGAAGATACATCTTTAATTCCTCAGATCTGAGACACCTGGTGTTCGTGAATAATTTAGAATATGCACAAAGCATGAGTCATCACTCAGTGTGCGAAATAGTTTCCAGATTTTGCTAGCCATTCTTGCTAGCTATGCCTGGAAGTTACTAGCCCACAAAATAATCCACAAGATCGAAATTTGAATATAGAAACTAAGCAAAAAGATTACAAAAATAGATCAGAATAAAATATTGTCGGCATGACCCGGGTTTCATCATTAAGCTGCTAGTATGATGAACATTTTTATCAGGCCATAATCTTGCAGGATTTTTAAGTGTATTATAACTTAACAAGTCAGAGAGAGTGATACATTTACCAAATGACCCTATGAAAATTCACTAGCAGTCGGGCCAGTGATTTACTGGCCCCACTGGATTTTTACTAGCATGGGATAAAGGGCCAGTAGCTATTTCGCACACTGTCATCACTGCACTCTGCTTATCTTGATGACTAAGCAAATACTGTTTCCCTTGTAAACTCACGCCAAAGGCCTGGGTTCGATTCCCCACATGGGCACAATGTGTTAAGCCCATTTCTGGTGTCCCCCGCCGTGATATTGCTGGAATATTGCTAAAAGCGGCGTAAAACTAAACTCAGTCAGTCAGTCAGTCCCTTGTAAACTTGACAAGATCAAAATGAAAAGTGATGACAGTCTTACTGTTCTTTGACCACATCTTTATGCTTGTTTTTCTCCAGTCGTCTGCGGGCAAGAGTTGTTAGCGGCTCATTTGATTTCTTCTCAGATTCTTCTACCTGGAGGTCAGCATCTAGATTCAAGACTCTCCTCGTTCCCAAAACAGCATCACGGAACCCCCAGATGATCGATGCTACCACACTCTTGATGGTGTCAGTCATGGTTGCAGAATCAATTGCAGAAGACAATCACTGGCAAGAGTGACTGGTTGATGCAGATATAGCTAGAAGTGGATGCTTTGTCATTGTGTCAATGTTGATCTGGAAATGAACAAGAAGACAAGGTCATCAATATCCCCCGCAATGGCAAAATACTCTTCATGATTATGTCTACGAGTTATGATTATGTCAAATATTTAGGTGTGTATATAGAAAAGTGGAAGGAGAGTATTGAAAGGTTTTTAAAGTTTTCCTCCAGAAAGGAGCACTATCACCAATTTCAGTCTATGTCAAACTTGTTGCCATGGAAAAGCCAAAAATATTTTATTCAGAATTCCAAAACTACCAAAAGGCACCAGTACACCACCAGATCTATCTATGTGCCAAGTTTGGTAAAGAAATAGTGAACGGTTTTAGAGTTCTGCTCCGGAAAAGAGCACTACCACCAATTTCAGGGTAAGTCAAACTTGTTGCCATGGAAATGCCAAAAAATATTTTATTCAGAAATCCAAAACTACCAAAAGGCACCAGTACACCACCAGATCTATGTATGCGCCAAGTTTGGTGAAGACACATTGAACGGTTTTAGAGTTTTGCTCCGGAAAAGTGCACTACCACCAATTTCAGGCTAAGTCAAACTTGTTGCCATGGAAATGCCAAAAATACTTTATTCAGAAATCCAAAACTACCAAAAGGCACCAGTACACCACCAGATCTATGTATGCGTCAAGTTTGGTGAAGAAACATTGAACGGTTTTAGAGTTTTGCTCCGGAAAAGTGCACTACCACTAATTTCTGTTTTAGTCAAACTTGTTGCCACGAAAAAGCCAAAAATATTTTATTCAGAATTCCAAAACTACCAAAAGGCACCAGTACACCACCAGATCTATCTATGTGCCAAGTTTGGTAAAGAAATAGTGAACGGTTTTAGAGTTCTGCTCCGGAAAAGAGCACTACCACTAATTTCAGTCTAAGTCGAACTTGTTGCCATGGAAATGCCAAAAATATTTTATTCAGAATTCCAAAACTACCAAAAGGCACCAGTACACCACCAGATCTATCTATGTGCCAAGTTTGGTGAAGAAATATTGAACGGTTTTAGAGTTCTGCTCCGGAAAAGACAATTGTGCGCGTGGACGGATGGACGCACAGAGTCCATTTTAATACTTATAATTAGAAAGACTGTCACAGTTCATTTCATATCCACTCCATCTGCATTTGCATTACATTATTAACAGAAATTTATGAAAGAAGATTAAGGATCAACACACACACAAACTGAAACTTCAAATATAGAACTAAGGACTATGCCAGCTGCATTGTTACAATAAACATATCTATCTCACAACTGACCGCCTCCGTGGTGAAGTGGTTAGAGCGTCTGCCTGGAGAGCGGAAGGTTACGTGTTCGATCCCCCGACCGCATCATACCAAAAGACGTTAAAATATGGTACTTGTTGGTCCCTGCCTGGCGCTCGGCATTAATGGGACAACAAGGACTAGTCGGCTCGGAGTCAGTATAAAGTGTCTGAGTGGGCTATTCATGCTTCACTGCGGCATGGTATCTGAGTGGGCTAGCACTATAAATCCAGCTTAAGTCTGGGCTAGTACAAGCAGCCGCGCATACACATACACACGCATGCTGGTCGTCATATGAGTGAAATATTCTCAAGCACGACGTTAGACCCAATTTCACCTCACCTATCTCACAACTAATCCTAAGGATCATAAAGAGGGGTTTAATTGGCATGTGGTGCTCAGGTGCTTGTTCAGGAAGGGATGCAAGAGCTAGGGATAGAGTTTGGGATAACCTACACTAACCCTACGGATCGAAGAGTCATGCAAGATTTGTGGACTAAGTGCTACAGTATGAGGTAGTTAGCATTACTCTCAAACATGGAGTACCACAGGGATCTGTTTTGGGACCGTTGCTGTTCCTGCTGTATACTGGTCATGTTGCCAACATCACATCAGTCCACAACATGTCGCATCACTCTTACGCAGATGACACCCAACTCCTCAAGAAAATACCACTGCAAAATCTAAATCAGTCACTTCAAGAACTCACAAACTGCACAGGGGAAATCAAGTCCTGGATGACAACTCATATGCTTAAACTCAATGACACGAAGACTGAGGCACTTCTGGTAGGAACAAGTCACCAAATTTCAAGATGTCCCATTAAGAACCTAAGCATCGCCGATGCAGTTGTTCCTATAAGCTCATCTGTCAAAGACCTAGGCATATACTTTGATACATCACTGTCAATGGAAACACAGGTGAACAACATCTGTAAGACTTGCTATTTCCATCTTCGCTCCATCAGCAACATCCGTCAATATCTTACAGCTGAAGCCACCCATGCCTTAGTCCGAGCTTGTGATTTCAAGGCTCGACTACTGCAACAGCTTGTTGTTTGGGATCAGTCAGAGGCTATTGGATAAGTTACAGAAGGTGCAGAACACGGCTGCACGTATTATCAGTCGCATTCCCAAACATGGCCACATCACACCTGTTCTTAAACAGTTGCACTGGCTCCCCATCAAGGCAAGAAGCGACTACAAAATCCTCTGCTTGACCTACATGGCCTGTCACGGACTTGCTCCCCCATATCTCTCTGACCTGCTTACTCCTTACTCAAACAAAGCTGCCTTCGATCATCCAATCAGGAGTTTCTGTTCGTGCCAAACTTCAAGCTTAAAACTTTTGGAAACCGGACTTTTTCATATGCAGCCCCAACCTTGTGGAATTCACTCCCATACAATCTGAAAGTTTCTGATAGTATTGCCACATTCAAGTCAGGACTCAAAACATACCTGTTTTCAATGTATTATTAGGAACTCTATTTTGGACGTGTACATATTGCTGTATAAATGTGGGAGACTCTTTTTATCTGTCATTGTTGCGCCTTGAGCATATCTGCTGACGTGGAAAAGGCGCATGAAGAAATCTGCATTTTATTATTAAATAGTAGGGGTGCCTGAGAAACTGCCAATGTTACCAATGAAAGCAAAATATTCAGATTATTTTGTGTTTAAACATTGTCTTGAGTCTGAATTTGAGTATTAAGGTTACATATAATAAACGAACTACCGTTCAATACAACATTGCAGCGATTTGCATATTGTGTCAGCTGTCACGTCATGTAATCGTAATTTGAATGATAATTCCTCAAGTAAAACTAGTCAGGCTGAGACACATTGATCACGACTTCAAAAACTATCAACATGGTGTGTGTGTGGACGATTGTAGACTGACAAGATATCGGCTAAATGAAAGTCAGCTTAGGAGACAGGTAAACTGCACGGTCCAACTACACTCCTGTCAATCTGACATCATCATTCTAAAACAAAATCCAGCGAATACCATGGAATATGCGTCATCGCCATTTCGATAACATCCAGCTGAAGTCATCATCACACTACTTCAAACGCGACGCTTGAAATGTCTTAGTGACAGATTGTGTTACTCCGATCAAGGTTTTTACTCCTGTAGAGCGACCCAATTGTTATATGCGACGAAACTTACCCATGAAGGACTGTTGTGTCTGCAAATTGTACGCGAAAGGACATTCTCTGCCTCTGGTCCGTCACAGCAGCTGATTGTTGTTGTTGAATTCTCTCACGCACATGCTAAGCGCATCGCTTACAACAACAAAAATATTCCAACGCATGTAAATATACACTTTCTTTGACGAAAATAAGAAAACAAAATATATCGTAAATGAATATATTATTTGTTTATTTAGTGATAGAAAATGTCATATTCAGGAAACATGATATATTTTTTTTCTTGATTATTGCGATCTCCGTGAATTATCACGTGATCGCAGCCTCTTTCTGGGTAAACTCTCCTCGAAATGGTGCGTGTGTCGTAGTGTCTCGATATAATTCACATATTTCTACCCATAAAAATGTAATAATTGTCGCTTTACTCGTTTACTGTAACCAGTAGGTCATGTTTTTAATATAATATAAACAGAAATTACATTCAACAGTGCAAGTTGACGCAGATGAGAAATTTAGGGCTGAGCACATGGTGACCATGCTGTTCAACATGGCCGCCCGAGATTGTACCAACAAAAGTAAAATTCAAAGGACATTGCTTAAATATTTTCCATTTCATTAAATTATGTTACTGTTTCCTTACGCCGATTAGTTAATTAAAGAGTGATCACAACCAATCCTAGAATGTGGGAATGGGGCTTGCATCTGTGGCCTTCATTTCCTGATCCTAAATCATCTTAACTGGAAATATTAATTTAGTAGTTAATCAACATTTAGCAGTAGAAGCAAAACTAGGCAAATGGTTTTATCTATTTAACCAATGCCATCTATTTTGAGAAATTTATTCGACGGTAAATAAGATGCATTTTCATTAATCTCTGTGGGCATGACAATTACTGATTTTCATGTAAATCAGTGTATATCTTTTGCATATTAGCCAGATGAAATCATAAGAATACAGTTAAAAACGTGATAATCATGAACTTTCCTAATGCTAGTTACTGTGCTGAGGTTTGTACTCTATTGAGAATATATAAATGTTTCCAGGGAGCAAAGAAACCCGATCCCAAGGCCTCGTCCAAGAAGGCACCAGCCAAGAAGAAGGAAGGTGGAGGTGGCGGCAAGGCCAAGAAGAAGGTTAGTATTTTTACATAATAAAGGGCACAGTCTCCGTGGTGGAGTGGTTAGAGTGTCCGCCCGGAGAGTGGAAGGTCACGTGTTCGATCCCCGACTGCATCATACCAAAAGACATAAAAATAGGGTACTTCTTGGTCCCTGCCTGGCGCTCAGCATTAATGGGTACAACAAGGACTAGTCGGCTTGGAGTCAGTATAATGTGTCTGAGTGGGGTATTCATGCTTCACTGCGGCATGGTATCTGAGTGGGCTAGCACTATAAAACCAGCTTCAGTCTGGGCTAGTACAAGCAGCCGCACACATACACGCATGCAGGTCGTCATATGAGTGAAATATTCTCCAGCACGACGTAAAACCCAATTTCACCTCACCTCGCATAATAAAGGGCAATGGGGTAGCCTAGTAGTTAAAGGGTTTGCTTGTCGAGCTGAAGACCAGGGATTGATTCACCTTAGGGGTACAAAGTGTGAAGCCAGTTTCTGGTGTCCCCTGCGGTGAAAATGCTGGAATATTGCTAAAAGCTCACTATTCTCACTCACTTGTACAGAATATATGTTTGCTGAGTACAGAACCTATGGGAATGCGAGTTGAAATAGTTCCCAAGCAGTGTGTTAAATTGTAATAGGCAGGCTAGTAGTCAAGGTTTTACGAATTGTAGGGCTGCGCAATATAACTGGTTTACCGGTTCAGACATGAAAGTGATACGTATTGCGATACACTGATCGAAATCCGGTATTTTCACTTGCATTCGGAAAACTTCGTAACACTCGAAAATCTTCGGATATGTCCTCTCATTTGTGCCAAATATTATTCACATTTTTATTTTATCATTATTAAAAGTTATTAAAGCTTAATCAATCATAGTGGTTTTGTTGTGTTTTTGCTCTATAGATCAAGCATTAACTCGATTATGAGTATTTTTTTGTTTAAAAAAACTTGATGCAATATATTGCAATACATATCGCAATACATGCTTTCGCATCGCAATATGAAAATTCTCTGCAATACCCACCCCTAACGAATCGGTAGCTTGATTGGCATCAGACATTGATGTTGCAAAATTAGCTTAGAGAAAACATATTATTTATTGTGATGTTGCATCAAGATCACATAGCAAATTACTATTTCAACGGAAAAACAAAGCTTCATGATGTCTTTGATTGATTTGATAAACTGTGAACACATGTTAAGCTACACAAGATAACTTCACACAAGCAGCTGGGCTTTGAATACTTTTGTTAATGAAAATGGCAACCCAGCTGAAAACATTGAGGTTTATAGAACTTTTTAATCTTTTGTTTCAGATATTTTTTGAAGTGATACAAGGCTTGATTCAACTACTTGAAACATGCCAATATTACTGAAACTAGCTAACAGCCTAATATTTGCTTAGATCATAATCAAGTCTAAAACGAATGCGGGGCGGAGGGGTAGCCTAGTGGTTAAAGCGTTTGCTCGTCACGCCGAAGACCCGGGTTCGATTCCCCACATGGGTACAATGTGTGAAGCCCATTTCTGGTGCCCCCCCCTGTCGTGATATTGCTGTAATATTGCTAAAAGCGGCTTAAAACCATACTCAATCACTTAAACAAATGCAAATTTGTGTCTCGACTCTTTCTTTTCCCTCGGCAAAAATCTCTAAACACACATTTCCCAAAGCTTTGTCTGTCATAGTACATCACTATTCCCTGTTCCATGAAATTTGTCGACTTGTCTTTGGATTGATGTTGTAACATAGGGATAGTACAAGGTTATGTGTATGTTCCCTCTATTGCTTACAGGAATACATTAATCTCGGAAAAACCATGACAGTCCTCGGACACATTTCATCTCTTCAGTGTCATCACGACATGGCTGAAATGTGACAATAACTTTTATCACGTTGACTGCCACCACATGTATACTCGTATCAATATCTGGCTGAATTTGCCACTACATGTTATCTCGTAGCTACATCAATGGTGTTTTGAAACATGTTTCACATGTTGGCAAAAGAGGCACAAGAAGCAATCGTCTCCTGGTGGTAACAAAGAAAGCCAGGAGACATTTGTTTCTTGTGCCTATCTTGTGATAACTCTTGGTGGCGTATTTGGCCAGAATTGATACAAGTATACTCGTGATAGGCGGTCAACGTGTGAACTCCTTTATCCAGCATTGTTTTAGACAGTTAAAAGTTCCTTAAATCAACCCTGTGACATTTTGCTTAAAATTTGAAGTTCAAGTTTTGAGAAATGAAATAATGCAGAGAAGTAAATTTTGTTGTGCTTTTGTCATTTGCAGAAGTGGTCGAAAGGAAAGGTCAGGGACAAGTTGAACAACTTGATTCTGTTTGACAAGGGCACATATGACAAACTGTACAAAGAAGTACCCAGTTACAAGTTGATCACCCCATCTGTTGTTTCTGAGAGGCTGAAGATCAGAGGCTCACTGGCCAAGGCTGCACTCAGGGAACTCCACGGAAAAGGTGTGATAACCCTCAGTCATGTATTTTCACGCATGTATCCCTTCATGTATTCAAATTATTATTAATATTGCTGAGTGTGGCGTAAAACTAAACTCACTCACTCAAGTCATTATTCAGGGCGGTGGTGTAGCCTAGTGGTTAAATCGTTCGCCCGTCACGCCGAAGACCCGGGTTCAATTCCTCACATGGGTACAATGTGTGAAGCCCATTTCTGGTGTCCCCTGTCGTGATATTGCTGGAATATTGCTAAAAGCGGCTTAAAATCATACTCACTTAAGTCATTATTCAAGGTCACTAAAGTCGATTATTTACAAATGTATATATTTAAGAGTGTTTTTACTTGGAACTAGCTTGTTGTTTATCTAAGTGAGATATACAAAAAGGAAAATATCCAAGCCATTCAGTAACATAACCTGTGTAATTTTGGAGTGGGACCCCCACAACATTGTCATTAGTCCAGTGTTCACGAATGGTGTTTCAAAGTCACAGGACATTGGGTCCTGTAAGTTTCAGATGTCTGTCTGACACATTGAAAATGCACAGGACCCATGGAATAAAATTAAACACATTTCAGATTTAATATTTCTTATAATTGACATTGAAATTATTAACAATCATAAGATTTATAAACAGCAAACAAGTGTCACATGTCACATATAACAACTTCAGTCAAAGTCATTGTGAAATATACAGTCAGACACTGGGGCTGGCGGGTTGTAGATTCTGTCAGACCGTTGGCAAATCTACCGGATTTGTCAGAGGGTCAGACGCTATTCGTGAACACTGTAGTCTGTAAGCAGTATTGTTCTTATGTTTTGCATTATGATTTTTATATCAATTTCAACAGTTCTCACCTTAAGCAAATTAAATGACATGTTTCTCAATTTAATTCCAAGATATTACCCAGAAAGTTTTCCAGATTACATATACGTATTTGTTACTAAATATTCATAAAACATATCATATTCGCCTCATGATGTATTCATGGCAGCCCCATTGCCTGTATATTGTCACATTGCTCTCGAATCATGTCACAATAATTACCATCAAATTATGTCTACAGTCAGCTGGTGGTCAGTTGACTGCAAAACTATGATGTGAACACAACATAGAAATACATTTCTATGTGTTATATTGACTTTTAACGGTTGGGATTGTGTACTGGAATAGGTCCCTAGGAACACGTGCTCGTCTTTAAAGGCAAGACTCAAATGTCCGACTCGGTGACCTAATTCATTTGCATGTTATTAACACCAGTGGAATGGATTGTTATTAACACTATTAATGGCTGGTTTGTATGACACAAATATTTACAGAAAGGCTAGTATGGCTGGAGTTTCGAGTGTTTAAAAAATCTTCAGTTCCTGATGTAATGAATTGATGCTCATCAACAAAGCTGAAAAAGAAATGCTTTTACATTAGACAAGGGGTAGTGGGATACCCTACTGGTTAAAGCGTTCGCTTGTCACGCCGAAGACCCGGGTACAAT